ACTTTTAACATTTATTAGAAAACATAAGTTACTCAAGTTTACTCTTGAGTCCATGGGTACTACTTCTCCAGATAATTCTAAGAAAGGTGAGTCAGTTTAAAGTTGACTTAAAGGAAAGTATTAAGGGAAAATGTACACCCATGCCAAATACAAACCAAAAAGTGAGATTTGTAAGAGAAGGAGAACACAAAGGATATGAACTAAAACTATATTTTAAAGTAATAAGTAATAATAAAGAAAATAGAGGAATCTAGAATGATATTTCATATAAATATTTATCAGAACAAAACAAAAAAACTGGTACAGCAGAACTAACAGCAAACAAAGGAGAATTTAAGGCAAAGGAAATTTCCAGGAATGAAATATACACATGCGGAGAAATTTTCTTCCTGAGTCTACCATTTTCCATTTCCACCAGCAAAGCCTGAGTATTCTTCCCAAGAAGCCTTTCACTCTAGGGCGCTATCAACATCTTGTTTATAACTTGCTCAAGTAATAAGCAAAAGGAAAAGGAACGTTTTTGTGGCTCAATTTCAAAGCGCCCCTTCTCTCCAGCACAGCGCTTACCCCACGACAGACCTGAGGTCTGGTGATGGCTGTAGAGCTCCAGGCCCAGGGACTCAGGCCCCGCCCCTCCAGCGAGGGTAGTGGGGGACAGCCCGCCCCCGTGGGGGTGGAGGAGTGGGGGACCCGCCCCCACGCAGCCATCCCACCCGCGGCTCCAGGTCCCGCGCTCCGCTTCTACTCCGTATTAATTCTCAGCAGTTTATTTAATTTCTCTACAGCACAGTGTTTACTTTCTACACGATCGCCAGCAAAGCTGTTCGGGGCCCGGGGCAGCAAACAGTCACAATTGTCTACGACCCCATCTGAAGAACCAATTGCCCTTCAGTTTCCGCACAAAGCTTTCATTAAAAACTCTTGAGTTGGGGCGCCTGGGTGGCTCAGTGGGTTAAAGCCTCTGCCTTCGGCTCGGGTCATGATCCCAGGGTCCTGGGATCGAGCCCTGCATCGGGCTCTCTGCTCAGCGGGGAGCCTGCTTCCTCCTCTCTCTCTGCCTATCTCTCTACCTACTTGTGATCTCTATCTGTCAAATGAATAAATTAAAAAATCTTAAAAAAAAAAAAAAAAACTCTTGAGTTGAATTAGGTGCGGTTATCAGTTTCCTGGGGAATCTGATATATTTTCCGAGAAAACAAAGAGAAAGAAAAAAGAAAGGTTCTCTATAAAATTTTGTTAAGACTTACTGAAACTGTTAATTAAAACTCTTTGAGTTTAAAATCTTTTTTTAAAAGATTTTATTTATTTATTTGACAGAGATCACAAGTAGGTGGGGGGTGGGGTTGGGCGGGAAGCAGGCTCCCTGCCAAGCAGAGAGCCTGACTGGAGGCTGATCCCAGGACCCTGAGATCATGACCTGAGCCAAAGGCAGAGGCTTTAACCCACTGAGCCACCTAGGCGCCCCCGAGTTTACAATTATTTTTAAGTCACACTGCGTTCTCTGCTCGAATTCTCAAAAACAATCCATTTGGGAAGGATCGTGGTCCCTATTACACTGGCAATCAAACGGGGCACCAGAGCAATTAAATGACCCAATCAGTGCCAAATACTAATGAAAATAATAATAATAATAAACAACAACTAACTAACGTGAGAATGGGTGCTTCAAACGTCAGTCAATCACCGAGCTTCCAGAGGTAACCTCTAAGGCAGTACTGTTACTCCTACGATCAATGGCACGGTTAAGACGGAAAGTAGTAATTTCTCAATCAGCCTGGATCATTTAGGGTACTCTGTGTAATAAAGGCTTTAGGGGGAAAAAGCACACATCGTGATTAATATGAGCGGAAATTTCAGACTCGATACACCCAGTCCTGTTCTGGAAAAATTCTTAAGCATCGTTACAGCAACAAGCACATCAGCAAGGAGAAGACAGCTGATCATTAATATTGCTCGACCCAGGTGATAGGATTCCCTGCCAGACTGGCTTCCGGTTCTCCCACTTTCGCTGCTGCTGCTGCTGCTGGGGCTGCTGCTCTCACCTAATGCTTTAGAAATGTTTTTGATTTACAGCTGGCAACTAAAATTACCCAAAAGTTTTCAAAGCAGAACAAAAGCCCTATGCGTCTTTCTGTCACCCTCTCAGAGTCTGGCTTTTCCTTTTGGCCTGAGTGGCTGGAATCTAGGGATGAAAAAAGAGAAGAAGAAAAATCCCCGCTTCCCCTAGAGAACACCTCCTGACTATATGAAACAGTTTTACATCATGAGGTGAAAATAACACAACAAAAACCCTTCTGGTTACCTGGCGATTCACAGACCTGTACCCCTGGGGATAAAAATATATTATATGTTTATAAAAAATAAAATAAAAAAAAAAAGTTTATTTAAACAGGTGAAAAAAAAAAAAAAAACCCTTCTGGTTTCTAAAGTCGGTAGCAGAAGAAATGAGTGAAGAAGGCAAGACTCAAGGACAGACAGACTCTTGTGTGAGAGTTTTCTACTTGCTTTTCCCCGCCAGGGCTACCTCCTGTTTACCAGTGTCTGTACACATGCAGGAAAATGAAAACAGACCTTGCTTTCTGCAGGCCAGAAATGAAGTTTCCTTTTATCTGGCACCACATAGCTTCTAGAGGCCTGTTCCTAATGGAAGCAATCGCTCGTTGATGGGTTTCATTTTCGCTGTTTTGTTTTAAAGCATTTGCCAAACAAACAAAAAAAAAACCAAAAAGCCACCTAGGAAAGAATATCAGAATCTTTCAAAATCCTCCATATGGAATTTTTTTTTTAAAGATTTATTTATTTATTTATTTGACAGACATCACAAGTAGGCAGAGTGGCAGGCAGAGAGAGAGAGGAAGAAGCAGGCTCCCTGCTGAGCAGAGAGCCCGACTCAGGGCTCGATCCCATGACTCCGGGATCATTTTTTTTTTTTTTTTAAAGATTTTGTTTATTTGAGAGACAGAGACCACAAGTAGGCAGAGAGAGAAAGGAGGAAGCAGGCCCCCTGCTGAGCAGGGAACCTGATGCGGGGCTCCATCCCAAGACCCTGGGACCATGACCCAAGCCGAAGGCAGAAGCCTTAACCCACTGAGCCACCCAGGCGCCCCCCCCCACTCACCGGGATCATTTTTAAAGCAGCAAATATATACTTGGCAATTCTGGCCCAGATCACTTTCGTGTTCTTTTTTTTTTTTTTTTTTTTTGTGGTAAAATATACATAACATAACATTTACCATCTCAACCAATTTTAGGTGTCATTACTAATGTTTTTAATAAAAATAAGTAGCCTTAGGAATATTAAAAACATCCTTTAAAACATTTATCCTTTTTAGGTACTACTGTAAATATTTCTGCTGTCCCGGGAGCAGCATAAAAGAAGATCCCATTAAAAGATCTCATGCTTCATCCTCAACATAAAACTTTGCCCACTGTGGCTCCTACGGAGTTAAACAAACACAATTCCGGTGCATACCTGATTATCTGAAAACACATTTTTATAGGAAATGTGGCTTGGATACATTTTATCCACAGGTCATTCTTCAAAGCCTTATTTTATCCTCACATTTACCAAATCTTTTGCTGAAATATTCTCCAGAAAAGCAGTCTCGACAAAGTCTATTCTTTGAAGAGTGAGGGCAGATAGGGCCAGGGAATAAAGAGCCTTAAGGAGGAGCAACAGGAGTCCCAAATGAACACAAAGAGTCTGTAGCTAGCTGTCTGAATCACCAAGAGTTGACATATTAGAGAATCAAGCCTGTAATTTTCAGTTTAAGAAAAAAAAAATAAATAAAATAAAAAAATAAAAAAACAAAAAACACAGATCTCTGAAGGTAACAAGTGGCAAAAATAAAATAAAGTTCTGAAAAATGCTCCCACTTCAGTTTCTGTCTGGAGATTTTACCCCCCCAAATCCTGTGTATGTTGCATTAAGTCTCCTAATTATTAAATACTAGTTACTGTCAATGGCAAAGCAAAATAGAAATCAGTAGTTAATCACATGTTAGAAGAGCAGCAAATTCTTTGAAGTGGTTCTTGAAAAAGCTCCTGCTGTCCAGTTAAAGGGACTTAAAAAAAAAAAAAAATGGACGAGGAGCAAGAGGAGGAGGAGGAGAAGAAAAAAAAAACAACAGAGGAAAAGCCCTTGTATTAAAGATCAGGCAGGCAACTCAAGTTTAAAATTGAATTCCACGTACGCTGTTTTTCAGAAACACCCATTCTGGCATGTTCTAAATCACATGTCATCTCTGGCTGAGAACAGGAAGGTAAAATAGGCCAAGCCCGGGAAGGGCTGGCAAACCAACACAGGCCAAGTACACTCAGGAGAACTATCTAGTATTTGCCTACAGAGTGCAATTGCCTCGGGTCTACACCAAAAATTTTGCTTTCAAGGAACACGGTTCAAAGAACTGAGTTTCTTTTTGCTATCCATTCACAAGAAGACACTTGCAGAGATCTGACATCTTTTGACATAATTTTATCCGTTGCAACACACAGAATGTCCATTCCATTTTACAAAGTTCATTTTAATCAGACATAACGTATGTTCTGGTCTTCCAGAGCCTGGAGACTCAAGACAGTTGCTACAGCAGTGAGAAACACGATATGTGGGCGATCTCTTATCAAACAAAAACCTGGCCCAGAGTACTTTGTATTTGGGACCGGCATAAGTAGTTTCCTCCATCTGAACATTTTAAGTCGATTGCCAAATGAAAATGGGACTTTTGAGCCCCTGCCAGAAGTAGGCTTCTCACTTCCTTGCCCAGTCTTAGCCAAAACCCTAGCACTACCCAACAGCAACCGCAATCTACAAATCAACTTAAAGACCTCGATCTTTGCCAAAGCTTTATGTCTACCGAGCTGACTCTATAAATAATGACGGGTGATCATCACGAAGTTTGAAACTGGATCCTCGACTGTCCAATTCTGGGTTTGCATTTTTTTTTCCAAGTTCATGAGTCTGTTCAGTTAATTTCATTATGCAATCAAATGAAAACTCTCACCTTGTGATGCCCAAATTCATTCAAAATGGTGCCCAGCTTTCTGGTGTTGCTATGCGGGTTTTGGGCCACCACAGCTGGGTGTGGGTCCCGCCAGTCGATGGACAAGCGGTGATACCAGAGGCGCCGACTCTTCAGAAGATGAGCCGACTTCACGCTAGGATCGAAACGATGGACTTCGCATCCACTGTTGGCCAAGCTAACCTCAAACTGTGTATCGTCACTCCCCAGCCTAGAAAGAAAGAGGATGGAAATCAGTAGAAACAATACGAAGCAAAAGTGTTGGATTGACAAGACGATTCTCAGGCCAATTTTCTTACTCTTATCAAGCTTTCTCCTGTTTTAACACATGGCTAACTGCACACAGTCAATAAACCTTCTTCTATCACAAAAAACATTAGCGCTAAGAGCTTCTGGGTATCAAGCAAGCAGAGACATCATCTGCTAAATGCAGACCAGCAAAGCACATGTTCAAACATGCAGAGGCATGTCAAATTAATTTTTTACAAAGATGTGAATCATAGCAGCAACGAAACAAGACGATCCAGTGATCTTAAGAGGCTTTCTCAGAAGACGTCAAACATATAAGCGCCGGGATCGGTTCCCTTAGGGAGAGGTGCAGTTTGCTAATGAGGTAATTTGTCTCCATTCTAATGGCCACGATGCATGAGGCCTGACTTAAAGACAATAGTTGTTTCCTTAGAAATGGAATGCGTTTTAAAATAGTACAGCTTCCTGGTGGTGGGTATCGTGGAGGGCACATATTGCATGGAGCACTGGGTGTGGTGCATAAACAAGGAATTTTGGAACACTGGGGAAAAAATTAAATTAAAAAAATAAAAATGAAAGCAGCAATTAGAACAATAATAGAGGAAATCAGCCCTGCCTTATGAGGACATTTCACATGTCAGAAGATGTCCTACAGGCAACTACCTATGGGTTTACCTTAACTGACCTCATACATCAAAGAGCTGAATAAATAAGGTATGTTTGATGATAATAATGCTAAACAGAAAATAAAATAAAATAGTACAGCTAAAGAAAAGGCAACTGTGTGTGGTTCTACTCAAGAAATAGAGGAGATACCTCACTTAAAGTCACATCAACAGGAGGAAGAAATTTTGAATTAGCTGTACCTACTAACGCAGTATGTAACATATCATGCAGAACACTCATATAATTAACACATTTTTAATTTACTCTGTCATATTACTCAGATGTATTTGGTGGAGTTATATTCATCACTTTGATTAAAGCATCAGTTTGGATGAAAAACATGAAATTAAATGAAAGAGGATTATTTTTTTAAATGGTGATTACAGCTTCTTTGCCCAAAATACTATATTTAGATGTGATTTAAGATACCAAAATCTCCCAGAGTATCTGTTATACATCGACCGAACTTGAACCCCATGCAGAAATGCTTCATTCTCTTAGACTTTACTGTCTCAGATATTTCATAATATGGAAACATACAAGCTCACTGGCTAACAATTATTTACCTGCCTTTAGTTGACTAAAATAAGTCTTCAGCACAGAGGTCCTCCCCCTAGATATTCTGACTATACTTTTATTTGCCTTGTTTTCTCTTCACTTCTACTCCACTGCTTTTCCCCTCACTGGACCCATGGCACGTTAACCCTCTGCTGTCTGTTACCTGTAATTCTCTCTAACCTTTTGGCTAGAAGATTTAGCACTCCTCTCACAAACACTACCATTCCCTTTACCCGAAAGATACTGTTTCCTAATTTTTATCTCTTATCAAACCCACCCAGCTCAGCCCATTGTAATCTCTATCCTAGTGTCCCCCCAATTTTTCCATCATCTAATTAGGTGTGGCAGACTGACTTGCTGGCTCTAATTCTTCACCCTTCATCCATACCACTGCCATGCTCCGCTCATCATGGGCAGGGTGTCCCTTCCTGCCCCTTGATTTTTTGGCTTGACCATGTGATTTCTTTTTTGGAAGGAAGTGACAGTATACCAGTCCTGACCTAGCCTCTAAGAACTTCTGTCCACTCTCTCGTATAATGCTCATGATGAAAACTTGCTGTCTCAGGAAAATACAAGACATGAAACGTAGAGGTACCCCAGTCTGACACCACCAGCCTTCTATGAAAAACAGAACTGCTCTTGGCCACCTCACCTTGACGTAAAGTCTCCCAGCTGAGCCCAACCTCAATCAACAGAAGCCCAGCTGATTTGGAAACATATAAGCCATAATAAATAATGGTTTTAAGCTACTGAAATTTAGAGTGATTTGTTATACAGCAACAGCTAACTTATAAACCTGCCATGCACTGTATGTCCAAGAATTGAATAAGAATGACAAAACATTATTTAGTAGACAGATTTCTTCCTGTATAGATCAGAATGTTGCCAAATTCACCTGCCCCAAGGAATTTTTCACTTAATTGAATATGTTGAAACTTAGATGAGCAAAGCAGTGTTTTATGGGTCATCTCATGGAAAATGGCAGTTTTGTAACTTTACTAAGAAAACACTGTATCAAGAAAGTCCTCATTTGGGGCGCCTGGGTGGCTCAGTGGGTTAAGCCACTGCCTTTGGCTCAGGTCATGATCCCAGGGTCCTGGAATCGAGTCCCACATTGGGCTCTCTGCTCAGCAGGGAGCCTGCTTCCCTTCCTCTCTCTCTGCCTGCCTCTCTGCCTACTTGTGATCTCTGTCTGTCAAATAAATAAATAAAATCTTTAAAAAAAATAAAAAATAAAGAAAGTCCTCATTAGATATAATTTGTATGTAAACTTTCTAGAGTAGAGAAATATGAATAATTTCTTTCTCTGAATTTTCTAAATAGTTTTCAAGGAAACATTCTCCACTCTAAACCATGTGTTTTAATCAAGACTTAAAAAAAATTTAAGAATTAAATTAAGCACATACACTTCTGTAACTAATTTTTTTTTAGTAAGGCACTTTATTGTATATTGGTATGTTTTCAATTTAAACTAATTTTTACAATGAAAAAATAGCAATACTCATAGAAAGCATTCAAAGAAATAGAATGAAAAGATGAAGTTTTCTAGCCCTAGAAATTTTGGCCACTAATTTCTAGAGATAATCACACTTAGCAATTTTTTGTGTATCCTTCCAGAAATTCTCTACACACGTACAAGTGTTCTCTACCAGAGACACCATAAGGACACACATACATATTTAAGTTCATCATCATATAGTGAGGAACTATTTTGTACGATACCCTAAATAACATGCAAATATTGAAATTTGTCGTTTTGGAGTTAATTTATGTTACTTTTACTAAATAAAATACATTTAAGACGTAAGTATACTAAATTGGAAAATAATAAACAGTGTTCACTGAATCAGGGTCTGTAATTCTTACTTTCATTTATTCAAATGGTACTTCTTCAAGTTTTTATTTAAATTCAACTTAGCTAACATGCAATGTAATATTCTGCTTATTTCTGAATCCCATGTGCTGTGCAATGAGATGAGGGCTGACAGACAGATCTATAAAATGTTGCTCCAAGTGAGAGAAAACTAGAAAATTAGGTAGGGTCTGGAATTCCCAGAATACATAGTATAGTATCCAACATGGCATGGGGCAGGCTATGTTTCACTGTCCTATTTGTGTATATAAATAAATATTTATAAAGCGTTTTAAGGGGCACTTGGGTGGCTCAGTCAGTTAAGCATCTGCTTTTGGCTCAGGTCATGATCCCAGGGTCCTGGAATCGAGCCCCATGTCAAGCCCCCTGCTCATCAGGGAGTCTGCTTCTCCCTCTCCTTCTATCCCTTCTCCAGCTTGTGCTCTCTCTCTTGCTCACTCTCTCTCTTGCTCACTCTCTCTCTCAAATAAATAAATACTTTTCAAAAAGCACTTTAATATGTTTAAGGCATTATACTAGACACCAGAGACAAATAGATAAATAAAATATAACCCTTGAACTGAAGCTCACAAGTCTTAATGAAGAAAGATTTCTGAACAAATAACTATAGGAAAATAATGAAATAACCAAAACTATTAGTTATAGCAAAAATGTATTTAGTCTGTAAGAAAATCATTTTCTGTTCTTATTTAACTTGAAAGAGAATTCACTGTAGAAAATTCTACTTTATAGGAATGTTCTACTTTACATTTATTCCATGAAGCAAGAAATGTACCTCATAAGGCTCCTATCTCATGATCAAAGAGTGTTGTTCCACTCCCTGCCACCACATCTGCATTCCAGGCAGCAGGGAAAAGTAGGAGGGGAATGAAGGTCACATCCTTTCCTCTTAGGGCGTGGCTTAGACGTTGCTCACACCACATTCACTCGTATCTCACTGCTCAAAGCTAATCATATGGCCACTTAGAGCTTCAAGGAAGGCTAGGGAATGCGGTCTTCGGCAAGGCACCACAAAACTCACGAGCTCTGTTACCAAAGGAAAAAGGAAAAATACATCCAAGAGAAGTAAAAACATATGTCCACACAAAAACCTGTACATGAATGTTCACTGCAACATTATCACAAGAGCCCATAAGTGGAAACAACCCAAAAAGCCATCAACTGATGAGTGAATAAATAAAATGTGGTATATCCATATAATGGAATATTATTCAGCCATTAAAAGGAATGAAGTAATGATACATGTTACAAGATCGAACCTTGATGTTAAGTGAAAAAAGCCAGTCACAAAAGGCCACATGTTGTATGCTTCCATTTATATGAAATGTCCAGAAAAAGCCAATCTACAGACAGAAAGTAGATTAGTGGTTACCTAGGACAAGGAGTGAAAAGTGGGAATGGGGTTGGAGAGAAATTGGGACTGCTCTGGGTTTATGAATTCCTCTTTTTGGGTGATGAAAATGTTCTATATTTGACTGTAGTGACCGGAAACCATTGAAATGTATGTCTCAAAGGAGCGAACTATATGGTATGTGAATTATAACTCAACAAAGTTGATACAGGATAGGTTTCTAATCAGATACAGGGAAGGTTTCTAACTATGACCACTGAGGCATAAGGATGGGAAAAAGTGACACAACTGGACAAAGGTGTCCCCAGGAGTTTCAGTAACCCATTCTTCAACCCTGCACGGCCCAGAGAATCTGGCCAAATGGTGATCTATTACAAGCGCTAATAGATAATTAGGTTATCTGTTATCTAATTATTGAGATGATTATGATTAGATCTGTAAACTGGCAGCTACTAGAGGGGGGGAATAGGTTTTTTGGAGCATAAATAACACTGAATAGTGGATAAAAACATGTTATAATTATTAGTTTTGTTAAATAACATTTCATGAAATGCCAAATTTCATCTAAAACATATATTCTCAACAGGGATGATATCACCCCTAAGGGGGCAAAAACCCATTCTTGGGCGCCAAGAAAACTTCCCCTTTTTACATTGAAGGCACAGATACATACATTACATAAACAGATATACAATTTATCTATGCCATTAAAATTTCATGGGGTGGGGGGTGGTGATTAGGGAAAAAATTATCTAAAAGGATCCTTGGGTATATGATTTTCTGATTCCTCATTCATCGACACCAGAGCTCCGGCTGTGTTAATTAAACTCCTACAAGTTGAAAAGGTTTGGCTCTGGATCTCGGTCATTCCTCGTGAAATGCTCATGGCACCCGGAAGTCCCAGCTTTCCCACCCAAGACACGGTTGTTGCCTAACCATGTGTCATCTATCAAACATTCTTCTGTCTCATGCTGAGAATTTATGCCTCGAAACCAAATGGTGCCACCTACCAGAGAACTAAAGAAGAGACTAAAAAGATGGACTGGGGCACCTGGGTGGCTCAATGGGTTAAAGCCGCTGCTTTCCTCATGATCCCAGGGTCCTGGGATCAAGCCCCGCATCGGGTTCTCTGCTCAGCAGGGAGCCTGCTTCCCCCTCTCTCTCTGCCTGCCTCTCTGCCTACTTGTGATCTCTGTCAAATAAATAAATAAAATCTTTAAAAAATAAAAATAAATAAAAATAAAAAGCTGGACTTATGCACGATCCCTTCTCAAGTTCCCTCTTCCATTCTCATGTCTACCCCTGAAATAACAGTCTTTGACAGGCAGGATAAAATAGGTGATTTCCCCCACTCGCTTTAGCTATCACCCTCCTCCCACCCCACCCACACCCTCCCCCTCACACAGAAGATGTTCAGGGCAGCCCCCAGCTGAAGAGGTCAGGCAGATGACATGAGCACCTAAACCCACAGCCCCTCCTTCCTCTTCTCCTCCCCTTTCCGGGGACATAACCTTCCTGTACAGCACCTTCCCCTATCTTAACTGGTCTCTTCTACCCCCATTTCAAAGTTGAAAAGGATCCGATTTTAATTCTCAACTGAGCTTCACCCGGAGTGCACACACTCTCCCAGAGAAATGCTTTTACATTGGCTGCAGAAAAAAAAAAAAAGGTCTGACTCTTAGTAAAGACGTTCCAGACTCCGAGACAAGGTGAACTTGATTCCTCCTCTAGTTCTTGGGATGGAGGAAAGGCATGCAGCCCTTGTCTTCTGGTCCTCTGTGCTCAGATCCCTTTCCCCCTGTCTAGGAAGGCTACCACTAGCTGTGGTTTTATCTGCCATCCTCAGTGTGCCAGGAATGACGGGGCACAGCAGTGACACGGTCTTGTTGCTGCCACAGCCCAGGGGCTCAGAGCACAAACTGGCCTGGTGTAGGGGCCCCATGACCCACCTGCCCCCTGCCCTCCCTGCCATCTCACAACTACCCCCATCCTCCCAAACCCTGAGAACCCAGGGCCCACATTCCCTGTTCTTGAGCCTCATTTCAAGACCACCACTTCTGGCCTGGGTCTCTGTCTTCCCTCAGCATCAACTGAAATGCCAGCTGGTCATTTACCTGCCTCCAGACGAGCAATCCACCTGCGAAAGGGGTAGGCTTATCCTGACCCTGTCCTGAGTCACAGGGCAACCTCCTTGTACATCCACAACCCAAAGCATCCTTCCTTTACCCATCAGAAATATTTTCTTTAATTTCCAGTCTTCAATTAAGCATTTTTCGGTTTTGAGTCAAAGTTGGCCCTTATCATCTAGTCACGTCTGTTCCCTGAAGAATTCAACTGTCCCTGTCTGCTCTTTAAAAAGCTGAGTTTGAATAGTGAGCATTTCAATGGAAGTAAAGAACTACCTTTTTACATGAAGTCATCTGAAATCTTAGAGCAGGATTCTCTTATCGAATGGCTCTGAAGTATCAGAAAGCAAAAAGGAATTTTAAAGATCTCTCCCCTCAACAGCTTTCCCAGTTTTCATTTTACTCAGGGATATGCTTTAAATGAGATTATTCCAGGGTGTAAAATAATATGTAAAATATAAAGGCAGTTCAGAGCAAGAAAACAGGACCAAGCTGAGCTCTCCAATTTGCATGTGGTACTATGGAATTATTTTTATGACCTACTTTCATACATTTTTAACATGATAGAAAATAAAGTCTACTGTCAAAACTCTCCATTCTTTCTACAAGCTAGAAGCAAAGCTGGTAGGCTCCCTTCTGTTCTAATGGCTGAGGAACTAATTTCCTAAACCTTAGCCTCCTGGTTTAAATCACAGCATAACCAGCGTCTCTCCCTAGTCTCCTTATCTTGTGCAATCATTTATGTTGCAAGCATATATTGAGTGCCTACTGTGTGTATCAAGCCCACCTGATACAGACTTCATTGAAGCCATAGAAGAATGTTTCCATTATCCTGAAACTCTTACTTGAACCTTTCGTTTTTACAAAAAGTCCACAATGACTGCAACTAAGAATTCTTGTTTGGTAAAGTTTGACATCAATGGTGATCCTCTGGGCACATACACAAATGTAGACCCAACCCCCGCCCAACCCCATCATCTAGGATTCACATTGACAGTTGTTATTCACATGCCTGAATGTGAATCACAGAAGTGATTAAATCTATCAGTGAGAAGAAAGCGCAAGACACCTGTTAAGGTCCCCAGCACTTCTGTAATGGACGTTAGCGGTCCTGCCTAAGAACCTCATCACACAGCTTCCACAGAGAGTCTGTAGAATAGGGTGCCCCCAATAAAAATAACTCTTTTCTGCCTTTTTTTTTTTCTGAGACACATATTTGTAAGTTCAGGTCTGGATGTGAGTACTGTTGGATTTGGTGAAATAGTCTCATTACTTTCTATTTTTCCTTTTATAGAAAACTCTCTAAATTCATTTGTGTATTTAGATCACTTTCGGCCCGAATACTGGAATATTAATATTTCCCACAGTTTTGACAAAATCACACTGTTTTCACAAGAATTCCCTTTTCTTTCTTTTTTTAATGTAAAGTACACATGGATTTACCATGGGCACAAAACATAAAAATCCAACAGTGGAATCATTCATCTTGGGTCACTCATCCTAAGTATGTATGGAATTTCCAATATGCCCGCTGTTCCTTCTCTTCTTAATTCTTAATATTCTCTTTGTAATATGAACGCTGTAATTCTAGCTGGAAATCATTGGCTTCACCAAGAGGACCATCCTCATCATGCTGAAAATTGAAGTTGCCAACTTACCAACTAAGTGTAGGTAATGGGAGAGAAAATGGCCCCAGCCACTTCCGGTGACCCGCAAGGGCAGTGCTCACAGTTACAGGACAGCCAGCGGGGTCTGAAACGATGGCAGGAGGCAAAGCCCAGCACCTATTGACCGTGCATAACTTTGTGTTGCCGAAAAAGCCTTCGCCACTCGCAGGAGTGTTTTGTGTTCTTCCGCTATAAAAGGCACTTACCCTAAAGAGTAGAGGCGGCATTGCTTGTTGCGGATTTGATGCGCTAAGCCAAACCTGTCATCAAGACAGACTGACCAGGGCTTCTTTGCAGGGCTGGCATCAGTAGCTAGGCTGTCTGTGCTCATGTGATTGCATGCAATCTGTAAGGATTGGAAATCAATATGAATAATTTAAAGCGTTGGATGATAAATGGCAGGTAGGGAGTTATGCTTCCCCAGTCCCTGAAAGCTGTAACAGGAGAGTTATGTCCTTCTCCACTGCTAACTACTCCTCTCCTTGGGGAAACACAAGACTGCGCCAAATATTCAGAGGAACTCCAAAGATTGGATTAGAAGGAGCCTTGTGGAGACTATAGGTAGGTTCGAAGGGAAGTTAAGGACTACTACAGCTATATAGCACGGAGTACGCAAGACAGACCGAGTCAGGAGCAAAGGTGGCAGAGAGGAGGGGTCTGGGAAGGCTTTGCAGAGGTGTGTTAGCCTTGGAGGACGAACAGAAGTTGACCAAGAAGCTGATATCAAGAAGGGCATTCCAGACAAGGAGAATGGTGCTGGCAAAACACAGAGGTCTGTAACCCACAGTGTTCCCACAGGAAGTTGTGAGATACGATTGTGGGCACAGGTCTCAGAAGGATATAGATTATCAATTCCTTGTCTCAGGCAGATAAGCTGGGACCACCGTGGTCCAGAAAGAGAGCATGCACTATCCCAGGTAAACAGCTGATCAAGGGTCAAGTGAGATCCGTTTGTCGTCCCTGCTTCCCAAACCGTATTCTTCGTGAACATTATACTAATGAGCTTCCTCCTAGGGGAGAAGAGCAAGAGCCCCACGCAGGAAGGAAGCTCTGCCCCAGCTCACCAAAGCACTTCTTTTAGCTCATCTATAAAAATTAGATAAGGAAATCAAAGGGAACATGTATCTAAATCAAGCAGAAGCAAGTCTCTGATTTCAAATGCATATAAAACAAATATACTGTATAAGGAATTCTGACTTGTGTTTAAGGCTGGCACAGTGTGCACGATGGAGGCTGCTGGAACCAAAGGAAGCAGGTTCTGTGGCCAAGATATTCTTCTGTGGCCTATATGACGTTACGAGCATCAGTTTTCCCCTGAACCCCTCCGAACGCCCATCATCATCATTATGCTCCATGAATCGGGCAGCAGCTCTGGCTGTCACATCATGGACAACAGAGCACTGCATGAGCCAAGGATGTTCTCGGGCTCCTTGCTCTGATTCATTGGAAAATATAACAGCAACTTATTTTCTTCTGAAGAAGATACTCTAAGTTTGCCCAATTCTTTTATTTAATGGAGCTTCCAAAATTCTAATCTGAAAAGCTTATATATATATATAGCCTATTCAGTGCACACAGCATCTCCCTGATTTTGCTGTCACCTAGGGTTGCTGACCTGACAAAATCATCCGGCACTATTTATCAGAGATAAAGGAGAGAGTCCATTGCTAGGATCTGGACATTTTAGAGGGAAGCTTGAAACGTGAAACCCTGTATATGTATTCTTTTCTCTCAACTGAGGTCTTATCACTCTTTAAAGGGAAAAAATAATAACAGTGGAATCAAATCTTCTCTCAAGTAACTATTACAGAATACGTTAAGTGGGTGCATCAACATGTTAATGTGTACAATTCATTTCCTACTGTTCTCCCACAGATTAGTGGAAATTATGCCTCCGCATGCCCACTGCCTAGGCCCCACTCACCCAGCAAGGGAGGAAGAACTGCTAATCTAATTAATCAACATTCAATGTGTTCACTGGGCCCCTCTTACTAGTGGGCGGGTTACGGTGCCTTAAACATCGGCACCGTCACTCTGCCGCATGCTCTGCCCCCCATACACGGCCAGTTGGGCAGCTCTGTAGGCCCCCAGAGCACAGCCAGACCTCCTAAGCCTGTCCCATTTGTTCTAGGGCAGCCTCCTAGAGTACTTTCATCAAACTGTCATGATGGTGGCGCCTGGGTGGCTCAGTGGGTTAAGCCTCTGCCTTCGGCTCAGGTCATGATCTCCAGGTCCTGGGATCGAGCCCCACATTGGGCTCTCTGCTCAGCAGGGAGCCTGCTTCCTCCTCTCTCTCTCTCTGCCTACCTCTCTGCCTACTTGGGATCTCTATCAAATAAATAAAATCTTAAAAAAAAAAAAAGCGGCATGATGATTCCCATTTCTTTGTGTGTACTCTTCCCTAAGAACCTTCTTAATCAGAACAGGGTATGGACACTCACAGGTTCTTGTTCCCAACTGCCTCCTAACCCCAATGACACTTAAGTCTCACCTTTCCCGCTGTGTTTCCCAAGGTGTGGTCCACCTACATCCTGCTGGACCTGGGAGATACTTGAAAATCCAGAGTTCTGAGTCCCACCACGGATCCATAAAGTCCGAATCCTTGAGGTGGAGGCCTGGGAACATGCATTTTAATACACTCCTCCAAGCCATGCTTCTGCAGGTGGTCCTGGGAGTTTATAGACGCCCTTGTGGAAAGCCCCACTGAAACGGTCCAGCCTGGCCTCACCTGTGCCTTAGCAAACTCAGGGAGGAGGCTACACTTGGGCCAGTGCTTTTAACATGAAAAGAGCAACCCCTCCAAACCTACCCCCAGCAAAAAGCCAGCAAGGCAGGCAATGATACTTAGGGCAAGGCCTCCAGGAATCAGATAAATAATAAGGGTCAAGGTCTGGGGCTTTGAGGTTCAGCAGCCCTTCCTTTCAACCCTGGGGAGGAGCGTTTCATTCTATTAAAGGTGACACTTCAAGCGTTTCTTCTTCCTCGGATTTCGTCTTGCACAGATATATCCCTGTTGGAAAGACATTCTTCTCCGTTCAGTCTCTTGGCTAATGTTGACCTTTCCTCTCCTAGCTCAAAAATGTAACACAGGAGTGTTTTCCATTTTGGCCATTTATTAACCATCTCACCGGTAGACATTGGCTTTTGAAAACAACCAGGAGGAATCGGTAAAATTCAGCTCCTAAAAATTAATTAAATATTGATTTTTCAAACGTTCTCGTTAAGATTTATGGCCAGGGCTTCAATAAACTCTTGCAAGCAAAATAATCAAGCCAGTAACTCCTAGTTAAGCTCCAACTCCAGTAACTATGTTCTTTCCTTCTAATTCCCCTTGTAATGTTAGCAAATTAGGCCTGCACAAAGGAGAAGAGACTCCAGGAAAAAATAGTTTCTGAAATGCATTTTAGTTATTTAACTTAAAGGGATTCATTTATTTTTTTAAGATTATTTATTTCCTTGGTTGGTTTCTTTTTTAAATCTCTCCATTCAATGTGGGGCTCAAACTCGCAACCCCAAGATCGAGAGTCACGTGTTCCACCAACTGAGCCAGCCAGGTACCCCTTAAAGGGACTAGTTTACTCTCCTTTCATCTGGTATCCCAAAAGATGGAACAGACTATCCGGCAATGCCTAAGTAGAATCTGGCAAAGGTAGCTCTTAAAATTTGGGAACTTCTGGCAGAATCACTTCAGTGATCAACTGTATGTATATGCAATACCATTATTTTGAAAAGCAAAATTTAAGGAAAGAGTGGTATTTTTGTTGCTTTTATCCCAGGGTGTATGTGTGTAGCAGTAAATATAATAGATATGATTGTTATAAAGTTGTTAAGTTTGCATCTCCAGGACTTGGATTTTTATGTTATTCTCACAAATAGACAGATGGGTAGATGGTTAGATGGATGGATGGATGGATGGATGGATGGATGGACAGATGAGAGCTAGACAGATAGATAATGTTTTAAAATCTATTTTTTCTTTTTAAAAACAGCAACTGTTGCTTAATTTTGTGCTGCAAGGCCTGCTTCCTAGAGGCATATGGTTTGGGGGTGGCCAGCAAAAGCTGGATCTGGAGCCTTCCCTTATAACAGAGTACTGTGTTTATGATTTAACCATTTCTTGTTAGCAGCAGCGTCTCATCGACTCCAGAACTCAGAGATGTCATTCTGGTCTTTGACATTAGAAAAGGATACCTAATTAAACTGAGGTCAATGTTGTGCACGTGCTACCAACATCCCGTCCTCTGGTGTTTCCTTGAAACTTCAGGTCCCCAGGTGTCTTGTGCCACCAGGGCCACTGCAATGTGGAAGTCCAGGGGGTGCCATCCCATTGCAGTCTGATGTCACGCTGTCTCCCGCCCTGTGCTTCTGTTTCCAAGCTCCCCTGCCTGGGGAAGCTCCCCCAGCCATCCCCTCACCCAGTCAGAGAACACACAACCCTCGTGCACCCTAGCTGGTTGGCCAGTAAGTGGGGGTATGCGATTCAGCTTGCCCACCCTAGTCACTACTGGCCACCGAACAGGGGTTTGACAAATGCCTGGTGACTTCAGGAATGAATGCATCCGTGACGAACACAGCAAATGCTGGGCCTTGCTGAGCAAGCTTGAACACAGATTTGAGGGAGATTTTTTTTTTTTTTTTTTTTTTTTTTTTTAAAGCAGCATAAGAGGATGAGGGTGGAATTTGCTTTAAGACTTTCAGAGGGTTTTTTCCTCCCTGGCCCGTTATGACTCACGACTGCTAACTGTGGAAATTTGGGGGAACAGTGACTCTAATATTCTTCCAGTTTTGTAGGCTTTCGTTGTCAAGAGGAGTTCTTAATAAAGCCTAAGCCCCAAAACAGCCCAAAAAACCCCAAAACAAAACAAACAAAAAAAAAACAACCCTCTGTATTACGTAGAGAGGGGGAGGGAATGCTGTTTAGCAAAATATCCTGATTAAGAATGAGTTCCTGTCATCTCTGATGAGCTCCCACCTGCTGGCTTCCCAGGGACCTAGAAGTCCAGAAAAACATAGGACCCCACCTGGGCAAAACGACCCCTAATGGCAAAACCACTGTGAGATCTAGAACTTTATCTCAGTTTCTCTGGAGGATGAAAATCCTTCTAGTGCGCTCCAACGCCCAGATCTTTCTTGTGCTCATCAAGCTGAATAATGCATCCATTTATCTACCTTCCCAACTAGTTCTCAGCTGCTTGAGGTCAGAGACTGTATTCCCAGGGCCTGGCACGAAGTAGGTGCTCAAAAACACTTAGTTGATAACGATCCTTTGCTACTCTTGGCAGACTATAAGCTCAGAGAACTGGGAGAAACCTAAGAAATAATTTAATAACTCTCTTCTTTTTCAAGATCAGAACAGTGAGAGCCAGAGAAGCAAAATAAATGGCCCAGGGTCACATCAGGCTACCTTGTAGGATACTTTTCTTTTCCCTTCAAAATTTTTCTCCTCTCAGCATGGAACTCACGGGAAAAATCCAAGAGGGGCTTGAAATAACCCTTTCATGCCTTTTATAAGTTACAGAACATTAACCTGAAATACATATAAAATGGGATTTGGAGACTTTTACTTGGTCAA